ATCTGAATTTCACTTTTCAGATTTGATAGTAAGGTGAAAATAAATAAAACTTAATTAAATCATTTAAGCAGGAAACATTTTCAGAATCTTGTTTGAAAACAAGGGCAAGAAAAACAAGCCCTCTGAAAGAGCAGTTTTGCACTTCGCTCTGCTTCCTCTGCTGAGAAGACATCATTTCCTCCTCTGGCCCACTGCGCTCCCACCTCCTGCCCCTCCACTCACCTCTTTGCTGCTTTGAAGTCACTCTCTTTCTATCTTAGGCCCCTCAACTTTGTATCTTCCTTGCTTTTCCTACAACCTCTCTGGGACCTTTCCAACATTTTAGATGCTAATTAGCACTTGCTAATTGAAATCTTAAAAGCTGAGTATCATAAGCACTTTAGCACATCACAAAATTCTATGATCATAGGCAGATTTCAAAATAGTTTATTGCAGAAATTAGAAGATGCTAAGGACTCTGCCATCTTTTGAGAAAAGTGCAAAAAACAGAATATGTGTCTACATTTTACATTTATTTTATTTTCACAGTTCATGTCTAATTCTGCCGTTCTTACGCAGTCTGAAAACAACCCCGGCTTTTGTTCTTTCTGGTTGGTGTGATTCCTGCCATCAGAATCCTGGCTTAGCTTCTACAAAGGCACCCCAGATACCACAGATTTTACAGTTTTCATTCCAATTCCTCTATGTCCATGGGCTTTTACAGTTTTCATTCCAATTCCTCTATGTCCATGGGCTTTTTGTTTTGTTTTGTTTTGTTTAACAGAAAATCATATATGAATATGTATAACAATTTTAGGTCTAGTGGAAAAAGAAAAGATCATTCTTAGGAAGTCAGATTTCATATGCCATGATTTCTTTTCAGTTAAATTGCATTTATAAAATGTGATACATCAGCTGCTCTGAGAATAAGATGTTGAAACAGAACTGAATGTGTGGAAGAGAAGAGGGGAGGAAGTATGTTGTCTCTCTGGAGAGAGTTAGAACTGGATCATCATCCAGTGAGCAGAGCCTCTGCTGACCCAGGGATGTCTGGAGCTAAAAGTGCCCTATCGGAGTGGTCCAGCTTTGAGGGGAAATGGCTGCACCTTGGTGCTCCTTCATCAGACTCTGCTGGATGTGCAGCGCCCTGGGAAGGGGTATGGCCTTGGGCAGGAACCCCTTCAGCTGGGGTAGTCCCTGAGGTCTCTGCCCCCATCAGGGGCAGTGGGAGCGCCTGCTGCAGTCAGTCCCTAAGACCGCGGATGCTGCATCTCCACACCCAACTCCCAAGAAATGTCTCATGTCTGGACTTCTGCTGATGATTTTTGCTGTAAAACATGACATTTTCTCATCTCATCCTTGTTATGGAAATTGTTGATTCATTTGAAACTCACACTCTTTGGCATTTTTTGTTTTATTCAAAATATACTTTAACTTCATTTAAAATTTTATCCATAGGTCAGATTCTATTGTCTAAAGCTGATTTTTGTTAACGCATTTCTTTGAATTTTTTGCTTTTTTTCCCCTTTGGAAGAACTTGTATAATAACTACTAGTAAAATTCCTGCTATTATTTATTCTTTACTTTTCTTGGGTGTTTTCTACATTAATTTGAAAAAAAAAAAGAACCATTGTGTTAAGTGGTAGAGTCAACTCTAAGCATGAGGAATAAGAGGGCCTTTAATTCTGGTGCGAAGTAGAGAAAGATAATAAAAACTCTTTTTTATGGTGTTTACTAGCAACACGACTTAAATATTTGCAGATAAATAGGGAATACCTCTATTTTTTTTATATACACACCAGATACAAATTTGGACTACGTTTTCATAGCACTTTAACTTTAAAACTTATGTACTTACTACCTCAACTAAGATGCATTAATTGGCACCCCAGTAATAACACAGATGCCCCCTCTGCAGGACCCTATCACTTCTCTTCCACTGTAAATGCGCAATAAACAAATATTTGAATGATAACATATCACAGTCTTTAGAGTTATAGGGATATAGAGGGGGGTTTTCCCTCCACATTTTTAACCTCAGAAATTCTACTTTTATTATTAACTTCAAGAGATTGTTCATGTACAATAAATAGAAGTTAGCATATAACATCATTTGGGTGTCAAAGCTGCTGTGAGTTTCTCAGTTGCTGCCTCCACAGTGAGAATGTCTCCTGACTAGCACAGACTGCTGCTTAAATTTAGGGACTGAGCTCTAACTTTTTCTTTTTTTTTTTAATTTAAATGCATATTTTAATATTTGTACCTTCATAAAGATGAATATCCCAAGTTAACTTTATGTTAGTTAAAAATTCACTCAAAGGTATATTTTCAATGAACAACTTATTTATAATAATACATTTAAAATTTAAATTAATTTTATATCTTTTGAAATAAGAACATAAAAGATGACCATTTACTAAATTAAATTATTCTAGGCATTGTTCCTGTGGCCGGCTCTCCGCTCGCCGCAGCCACCTCCGCCTGCGCCTCCGCCGCCGCCGCCGCCGCCACGGACTCCCGCAGCTTTATCGCCAGAGCCCTCGAACTCTCGCTTTCTTTCTAATCCGCTGCATCGGATCACCGGCGTGCCCGTCATGTCAGACGCGGCCGTGGACACCAGCTCTGAGATCACCACCAAGGACTTAAAAGAGAAGAAGGAAGTTGTGGAGGAGGCGGAGAATGGGAGAGAGGCACCTGCTAATGGGAATGCTAATGAGGAAAATGGGGAACAGGAGGCCGACAATGAGGTAGATGAAGAAGAGGAAGAAGGTGGGGAGGAAGAGGAGGAGGAAGAGGAAGGTGAAGGTGATGAAGATGAGGAGGCTGAGGCAGCTACGGGCAAACGGGCAGCTGAAGATGATGAGGATGACGATGTTGACACCAAGAAGCAGAAGACTGATGAGGATGACTAGACAGCAAAAAAGGAAAAGTTAAACTTAAAAAAAAACCAAAACGCCGCCGTGACCTATTCACCCTCCACTTCCCGTCTCAGAATCTAAACGTGGTCACCTTCGAGTAGAGAGGCCCGCCCGCCTGCCGCGGGCAGCGCCACCTGCTGATGACACGCTCTCCACCACGCAACCAAAACCACAACGTGAATTTGCAACAGGGGAAGAAGAAACAACCAAATCGTCCAAGGCCCTGCTTTTTTTCTTAAAGTACTTTAAAAAGGAAAATTTGTTTGTATTTTTTATTTACATTTTATATTTTTGTACATATTGTTAGGGGTCAGCCATTTTTAATGATCTCGGATGACCAAACCAGCCTTCGGAGTGTTCTCTGTCCTGCTTCTGACTTTACTTGTGGTGTGACCATGTTCATTATAATCTCAAAGGAGAAAAAAAACCTTGTAAAAAAAACCAAAACAACAACAAAAAA